AGGATGGTTTATTCGTATTTTTACCAAAACGTATCGCGGAGGTTTATTAATCTAATTGTATTATTAAATTTATGTTTTAATTAATAAATTAATATTTATTTTTGTTTTTTTTATTTTTTGTTCTGTTCAACTGCATTAAACTGGAAAGGTTTCGGTGGTTTATTGACTTTAAAGTTTCTAGATTTCTCCTTGCAGCTATCAGTTCAATTCCTATAACAAGTAAGTATTATGTATATTTCGTTAAGTTACACCACCGAAACCTTTTTATATTAATTGTATCTGAATTCTATAACGTCACATAAATTTTTTTAAATTTATGCGCGCCATCTATCGCCCAACAGACCCCCGCTTAACTATCCACCGCTAGGTGGGCGCGCATCGTCTATCCACCGCCGTTTGGCGTTACTTCCGCTAGGTGACGTCCCGTGAAGTAGGTAACCAACATCCACCACCCACCGCTAGGTGACACCTCACGACGTAGACAACCAACATGACATGTTTTAGTTTCACTACACACCACCAGATGGTCAACATAGCGTTAGTTCCACCACCCACCGCTAGGTGGCGTCTCACGACGTAGGCAACCAACATGACATGTTTTTTAGTTTCACTACACACCACCAGATGGCGCCACATGCATTTCAAATTTCCCGCGCTGTGGCGTCACTTCCTGCGCGCGCATGCGCAGACGTCACAGGGGGATTGGGGAATTTACTTCCGCTCCAGAACTCTCATTTTTATACTACTTGCGGACTCTGTTGTTCTCCTTTTCATACTCGTGCTGTCGAAGGACCAAGTTCTTACTCTTTGTGGAGTTTCACTTTCTAAATCAACCAGACTAGTTGTCGACCACAACTGCTGTTTTCCCTTAATTTGTTCCATAGATGTCATATCTAACGTTTCCATATCCGTTTTTCCCCCTCGCCACTACCCAGCTCTGGATTTTCGGCATCTTCTAGATATCTAATTGTACTATCAAGATCGGCATCCTCTGATTTGTCCGATTCTTCCTCTCCGTAACCACCTGGCATCTCTTCGCTGTCACTACTCGATTCTCCACTACTATTGTCTATAACTTTTTTCGTGTCGACATCGCACACCATTGTCCTACTTTCGTTCGTTTTTTCGTCATCTTGGGTCTGACTATCGACGTAGGGGCGACCTCGCTCCCCTCCGCCCGCTGCGCCAGTCTTCATGGCCGACGCACCTATCCGAGACTTTGGATTTTGATCTTCCATTTACCATATTTGCAGCTGTCAGGCGCCTAGCTTACGCCCCGTTTTATTCCTACCGGCAGGTGTACATATACAAACACAAAATTACCCGTGGCCCTCGTGACACCTAACGAGGGCCTTTCATGGGGAGTACCGTCCGGGTTCACACGGACCCCAGTTTTTTAAGGAGGTATGCTCCTCCTTGGCTTTTGGTCCGCGCCGGGTATTTTATTTCCCCGGTACCCCCCGCGCACGCTAAAGTGCAATGCATGCGCGGTGAGCTTTCCCCTATCCGCCACCTGGGGACGCGTCCGATTGGGGGAGCCACCCCCATCCCCCGGGAGCGGAAACCCAACCCAACCCTTTTTTTTTTTTTTTTTTGGCGCTGAGGAGGGGAAAATGCGTTACGCACCCCGGCCTACTGTTGGCGCCTGATGATGGTAGGTGGTAGAACTCTTACTTCGGCCGGGAGTGTGGGACTACTAGCCCCAGTCTACCCACTAAAAACCCCCCCTCATTCTTCTCCGGGATCACAAAAGTATTCTTCGGAGTTATCGACCTTTTCTCTGTTGCTGTCCCTTTGGTTGACACATTATCCATCGGCCCTCGGTACAAGCAGGCTCCAGCTATCACGTTGTAAAACAATCGACATATCAAAGGATTACTTTTTGAAATATTGTTATTCGTCGTTCATACCTGGAAGAGGGGAGAGTATTTTCCCCTCTTTCATCCTCTTCTTTGTTGTTATTCCTTTGGTTGTCACATTATCTATGGGCCCTCATTACCAGTAGATTCCTGCCATCGCATTGTGAAACATGAGACATACGAAAATGTTACTTTTTGAAATACATTTATTCAAAGTTCATACCTGGATGGAGGGAGAGTGTTTCCCCCTCCTTTATCCTCTTCTCATCTTCCGTTTTTCTACCTATCTTCTGTTCTGTGTTTCTGCGGTGTGGGGAAAACTTTATACACTCAAAGATTGTGTGCATCGGTGTGTCCTCTTTGGCACATCCGTACCAACAGTTACCCGTTTGCATCTTTCCGATCTTCTTCAGATAGCTCCCAAAGGCTCCGTGTCCCACAATTGCTTGGGTGGCGTGATAATTAGTGTCTGGGCCTCGATCATGCTCGCCCACCCATCATATTCTCTCCATCTCTGCTGCCATCGTTCATACATTTTGTCTCTGTTTTCCTTCTTTTGTTCACCTCTTGTCTCCCAGTTTTTGGTCCTCTCCCATGCCAATAGGTCATAAGGAGGGCATCCAGCCAGGGTTCCAATGGCCTCCGTAGAAGCTGTTCTGTATGCTGAAGTTACACAGATCGCTGCTCTTCTCTCTATAGCCCTTATCATATTTTTGTATTTCGTATACTTCAGCGATGTTTCCCATGCTGGCGCTGCGTACATAGTTACGGATTGTATTACAGTCGCTATTAATTTTCGTTTCCTCT